TTTTCATTTTCTTTCCATCCAAAAGATGTTCTTAACCCTTTTTATGGCCTCAGTAAAACCTACCTTGCCTTCCATGGCAAAAGCCAAATGAGAATGAAAAATGTCTGACAGCAGTGGCTCTCCTGCAACCTTGCAGCGCACATCTGCTGTCTTGCCTGCCTTGCACCCATTTCTCCTGGGTCTGTTAACAGCCCTCCATTTTGCCCTGGGGCGATGTGGTTGGCAGTGGGTTTGACCCCACCCCAGACGCAAGGTGAGCATGTGGCTCAGGTCTAGCCAGTGAGAGCACTGCATCCCTCTGCTAACAGTAATTCAAGTGGGGGCAGGTGACCCCAACCCAGCCAAGCTAAGCAAATGAGACAGAGCTGTTGGTGGTAGACAGTGGGGAAGGGGGTTCTTTATCTGCTAAGCCTATAGATACAAGCCATCTTATATGGGGGTCATTTTGGTGGCTTATGAAAAGAGCCTGCCTAAAAATGAAGTAAACATGGAAAGAGAAAAGCTGAATGAGAGAGAGAGTTCTGACTATATCAATTGAGCCCTGTGTCTAAAGCCAGTGTCCTGCACTTTTCATCTCTATTGAGCAAATGCTATATTCTCTATTTTTTCTTAATCACTTAAGTTAATTTTTCTATCATTTCTAACTGATGGATTTGGGGTTGACAACAAATGTCAACATTAGAAAAGAGAATAATTTTCTTTCTCTCTTTTATTTAGCTGTTGGTTCTACATAAAAGACCTAGGTTATCCCTAGTGTACATCAAAGTCTTGCTGTCTGGCCTTAAACAAGTCATACCCATGTGTCCCCATCACTAAAATGAGGCCATTGAACCTAATACCCCAGGTACCTTCCAGCTCTGAAACTGTATACTTCTATGAATAGTCTCTTAGCAACTTCCACCCTCAGAATTAGATACAAAAATGTTTCGTTCATGAGTGTGGATTCAGAACATTAAAATAAAACTTTAAAAAGTTTAATCAAATGTCAGATGATGAAAGCCAGGAAAGGCCCCTTTGCTTTAGCAAAGCATGGAACTGCCTTCATGATTCAGTATGTTATCTGCTAATTCCTGGTGCCTGAACACTTCCACTCCCTCTGCCCCTTCTAATGAAGAATGTCCATTTGTAGCTGTAGCCAGTCTGTCTCAGCCAGCCTTTTCATCCACAAACACTTTCATCAGAGTTAGGAGAGACATAACAGTTAATAATCATCAGAAAGTTGTTTTTTTGTTTTTTGTTTTTTTGGGTTTTTTTAGAGAGAGGAAGGGAGGGAGAAAGAGAGGGAGAGAAACGTCAATGTGTGGCTGCCTCTTGCGTGCCTCCCACTGGGGACCTGGCCAGCAACTCAGACATGTGCCCTAGACTGGGAATCGAACCAGCGACCCTTTGGTTAGCAGGCTGGTGCTCAATCCACTGAGCCACACCAGCCAGGACACTTTGCACATTTATATATTAAGTGCTTTCTCCAAGTATGTGAACATGTTCCAAATACCATGTTCTGTTTGTTCTTACTTTGCTCTATAGAACAAAATTGCACACATAACAATAAGACTGACCGAGATGGTATTCAAGGTATTTATTCACCACCAGGTATGGGATTATTAAACTTAGCAAACAGAAATACAGAATACCTAGTTAAATTTGAATTTTGGATGAACAATAAGTATTTTTTATTCTAAGTATGTCTCATGCAATATTTGTGACATACTAAAAAGTCATTGTTAATCAGAAATTCAGGTCTTACTGGGCATCATGTATTCTATCTGGCAATGCTATCTTTTTTTTTACTTTTTGTTTTTTGTATATAGCATTTTTTTTTGTTTATTCTATTACAGTTGTCCGAATTTTTTCCCTTTTCCCCCTCCACCCAGCCCACCCCCCTCTCCCACAGTCAGTCCCCACACCATGTATGTGTCCGTGAGTCATTCGTACATGTTCTTTGACTAGTCTTTTTCCCTTCTTACCACCATTCACCCCTTTCTCCTCCCCTCCTACAGCCATTCCATGTTTCCATGCCTCTCGTTCTATTTTTCTCATTAGTTTATTTTGTTCATTAAATTCCAGTTATAAGTGAAATCATATGGTGTTTGTCTTTCACTGACCGGCTTATTTCACTTAGCATATTGTTCTCCAGTTCCATCCATGCTGTCACAAAAGGTAGGAGTTCCTTCTTTCTGCTGGATAGTATTTCATTACATAAATTTACCAGTTTTTTAATCCATTCATCTACTGATGGGTACTTGGGCTGTTTCTAATACTTGGCTATTGTAAATAGCACTGCTATGAACATAGGGGTGCATAGGTTCTTCTGAAATAGTGTTTCAAGATTTTTAGGGTATATTCCTAGCAGTGGAATCACTGGGTCACAAGACAGTTACATTTTTAATTTTCTGAGGAAATTCCATACTGTTTTCCACAGTGGCTGCACCTGTCTGCATTCTCACCAACAGTGCACAAGGGTCCCCTTTTCTCCACATCCTCGCCAGCATTTGTTGTTTGTTGATTTATTAATGAAAGCCATTTTGGCAGGTGTAGGGTGATATCTCATTGTGGTTTTAATTTGCATCTCTCTGATGGCTAGTAATGTTAAACATTTTTTGATGTCTGTGAGCCATCTGTGTGTCCTCCTTGGAGAAGTGTCTGTTCAGGTCCTTTGCACGTTTTTAAATTGGGTCGTTTGTTTTCCTGGTGTTGAGTTGTATGAGTTCTTCTTCTTCTTCTTCTTTTTTTTTTTAATGTTCAAATACATTTGTCTCCATTTTCCCACCACCACTTTCCCCTGCACCACCCACCCCTACCTCCCACCCTCAATCCTTCCCCACTTTGGCTTTGTCCATGGGTCTTTTATACATGTTCCTTGACTTGACCCTTCTCCTTCTTTTCCCCTTTACCGGCCTCCCTCCTCCCCTCTGGTTTCTGTTGGTTTGTTGTTTTTTTTCAGTGTTGCTGGCTATATTTTTCTTGCTTGTTTATTTTGTTGATCACATTCCACTTATAAGTGAGATCATATGGTATTTGTCTTTCACCTCCTGGCTTATTTCACTTAGCATAATGCTCTCCAGCTCCATCCATGCTGTCGCGAAGGGTAGGAGCTCCTTCTTTCTTCCTGCTGCGTAGTATTCCATTGTATAAGTGTACCATAGTTTTTTGATCCACTCATTTATTGATGGGCACTTAGATTATTTCCAGCACTTGGCTATTGCAAATTGTTATGCTATGAGCATTGGGGTGCACAGGTTCTTTTTGAATTGGTGTTTCTTGATTCTTAGGGTATAATACCAGCAGAGGAATTGCTGGGTCAAAAGGCAGTTCCATTTTTAGCTTTTTGAGGAAGTTCCAAACTGTCTCCCACAGTGGCTGCAACAGTTCACATTCCTACCAACAGTGCACTGGGGTTCCCTTTTCTCTATAACCTCGCCAGCGCTTGTTGTTTGTTTATTTGGTTATGATGGCCATTCTGACTGGTGTGAAGTGGTATCTCACTGTGGTTTTAATTTGCATTTCTCTGATGGCTAGTGATGCTGAGCATCCTTTCAGATGTTTGTTGGCCCTGTTTATGTCCTCCTTGGAGAAGGGTCTGTTCAGGTCCTTTGTCCAAGAAAGTTTTTAAAACAAAACTGGTTGCTTTGTCCTTACTCAAAGCCCTTTAGTGACTCTCTGTCACCCAGATGCCAAGTCCAACACCCATCCCATCTCTCATTGCTGCCTACTTGGGCATCTTAGGTGCATCACTTCACATCTCTGTGCCTTAGTTTCCTCATCTGTGAAATGGGGACAGTAGTACCTTCCTCCATGTGTTGTCGTGAATACTGAATGAGAATAGTCCTCCAAACAGTGCCCCGCAGACAGTAAACACAGATTAAATGTCCACTCTCATCTTTGTCATCGTTCTGATCAGACTTCTCAACGTCCACTGGGTGGTTCCTTGGACAGGTGAATGGACAAATGGGTTAAAGCATAAAGTACTCAAAACTACTTCATGTCCTGTAGGTGATTAGTAAGCACTTATTAACAACAATGTTTTAGAGACATAAAAGTAGCGATTCAGAAAGGACAGTTCCCCCAGGCCGTTCCCATCCTGCCATTCCTGCCTGCTCCCAAGTCCCATCCCCCCCCCCATCACTTCTTTTTGGAGCTTTTGTTATTGCCTTAAAGGGCTCAGGATGTCTAGTTTGTGATGATTTGAAACTCAAACGTGAATTTGCTCTTCTAATGTGAACTGCTCTCAAAAAAATTACAGACTCATTTCTCCATTTATATGTTTTAGCTAAAAGGCACCCAGAGTGACCAACTGACCCCAGGATTCGATTCCCTGAGGCACTCAGAAGTGACAGGATATGGGAACCAATTCTTTCCGCCTGCTCTCAAGTGAAACCAATTTGTGACTCAGGAAGACCACTTATTGAGTGGAACAGGAGATAGAGTCAACCGGAGCCCAGTCCCTGGCATTACCCAGACACCTCCCTCCCAGAACACCCACCACGGAACACCGAAAGGGAGGCAGAAACCCTCCAAATGGCTGGCAGAGCACAATGAGAGCAGGCTCAGGGTTCTGACAGGGCTGGGCTGCTACTCGTTCAAGATTTGTTTGCTCCTTGGGTGACTCTGGGCAGATTTCTAACTTCTCTGAGCCTCTGTTTCTTCACATGTAAGCTGGAGCCATGACATTTGCCCCATGGAGTCACTGCGAGGACTGACTGAGGTCAGACACGTAGAATACCTGCCCATCCACAAATGGTGCAGGCTCGGTGTCTCAAATGCCCTTGCTCCTCTGGGGAAATGCTCTGTGCCCAGAGTCAGCATCAGCCCCTGGATCCACTCATCTCCCTCCACAGCGATGGCTAAGCTCCAAACACGTTTCCACCTGATCTCCTTTTCCCAGGTTCCTCCATCTCCTGAATGCATGGCCGTCCTCCCACTGGAATGCACCTAAGCAGGTTCTAGTTTAAAATTCGTTGTATTTCACCCCAAAGCAGAGCTTCTTTTTCTGAGTGGGGAGGGTGGGAAGAGCGCGAATACAGTCCCTCACTACCACAAATTATACAGTCGAGTTTCCCACATTTGGAGAAACTGCAGGGGGTCAGCACATGCGGAGTGCGATGGATAAGCCTTGCCCTGGGAAAACCACCCTTATGATCATAGTATCTCAGAGCTTCTTTGGATTTTTTTTTTTTTTTTAAGATTTATTTGCTTTTAGACAGAGGGGGCGGGGGGGGGGGTTGAGGGAGAAAGAGGGAGAGAAACAATACGCGGTTGCCCCTCACGCGCCCCCTACTGGGGACCTGGCCTGCAACTCAGGCATGTGCCCTGATGGGGAAGCGAACCAGAGACCCTTTGGTTCGCAGGCCGGCGCTCAATCCACTGAGCCACACCAGCTCAGGGCTCAGAGCTTCTTAACATTATAACGGTCAGACATATTTGAGAATCTAGTGAAAGCTATGGCCTTTATCCCTGTAGAATTGTGCACAAATGTGGGTGCGATTTCCACGGGCTCGTGGACTCCAGGAAGCCTCTTTGCAGGACTTCTAGGGCCACATGTGCCTCGAGATAAGGATCTCCTGCCTTAATTGACCTTCAGCAGTGTCTGTGTTTGGCCAGCACCCCTGTTGGCCACATGTTCACAAGTCATCCCTGAAAGGTGCAGGGTAACAGTCCCTCCTCACTCACAGTTTACAAAGTGCCACAGAACAAAGTGACATGTTCTCACCCTGAATTCCATCCTTCCTCAGGTCTCTCTTCATGGTGTCTGCCTCAAGAGATGTGCTTTTCCAGCTCTCTCCTCCAAATCAGAGGGCTCCTTATGGGAACCGAGCCTGCAGAGGGTCTACTTCTCTACCCTCCCCACCCCTGGCTCTCCCCATCCTTGAGCCTCATACCACCCCGAGCCCCGCCCTTGCATGTTCCCAGGCTCTTGTCCCAAGAGCCACCTGTCCTGTGGCTTCACTAACAAGTACCGCTGTCCTGCAAAGCTCCTCCAGGCTCAGCTGCCAAGGCAGGAGGGAAAAATTGAGATACCAGAGTTGAAAGATATCAGGCTTCAGAAGCAAGATCTAAACAGACTTGAATAGCAGAGAGTTTCAAAGGTACTCGCAGAAGTCCTTGTAAAACTCCTGCCACCTCTTCTGTGAGCTGGCAGTTCCAGGTCTTTTAGGTTGCTTTGAGCAAGCTTCTCGTTGAGCCACCAGCTCCAGTCCTGCAAGGAAACAAAAGGGCATTTTGTATTTAATCTCTTTCAGTAGAAAGAGACTGGTGGGGCTTTGGACCCTCTGGACCTGAACATGAATATCTCATAGAATCACTAAGCGGGAAATTTTCCACTCTCTCCCATCAGGAAATGATAGCATTTGAGGGGTTAGAAGGGAATTTTGTCATACATCTCAACATGCTCATCTTGCAGATGAGGAAACTGAGACAGTAAAGTCTGCTTGTTTTCTCTGCTCCCTCAGGGAGCGGGTGGTCAAGCTGGACATGCTCATGTTTGTCCAGAATTTTCACCTTCTTAGTACGCTGTATAGTGCACAGCCTCCTTAAAGGGCAACTTCAACAAGAGTTACAAAGCCTGTTCTTCAACAGCCTTTAAGTTTTGGGAAACTTAACATTGTCACTAAGACTACGACTATTGAAAAAGTGAGCATAAGCAAATGGTCACAGAATTAAACAGAGTGTTAACATGTATGTGTGTATTAGTTTGCTAGGGCTGCCATAACAAAATACCACAGACTGTGAGGCTTTAAAGACAGACATTTATTTTCTCACCATTCTGGAAACTGGAAGTCTGAGATCAAGCTGTCAGCAGGGCTGATTCCTTCTGAGACCTCTCTCTCTGACTTGCAGATGGCCACCTTCTCGCTGTGTCCTCACATGGCCCTTCCTGTGTGTCTGCACCCTGGTGTCTCTTTCTCTTCTGATGAGGACTTAAGTTCTCTTTATGCCCACTTTATGCCCCATTTATTTTAGCTACCTCTTTAAAGACTATCTCCAACTACAGTCACATTCTGAGCTATTAAGAGTTAGAACTTCAATATATGAATGGGGGGGATACAGTTTCCATAATCATATGTATGTTTTTAAAAGAGAAAATGTGTCCTGACTGGCATGGCTTAGTTGGTTGGGTATCACCCCACAAAGCGAAGGGTCTTGGGTTTGATTCCCGGTCAGGGCACATGCCTGGGTTGCTGGCTTGGTCTCCAGTTGGGGTGCGTGCAAGAGGCAACCGATCAGTGTTTCTCTCACACATCAGTGTTTCTCTCCCTGTCTTTCTTCTTCCCTTCCCCTCTCTCTAAATAAAATCTTTTTTTTAAAAAATGAGAAAATGTAACTATCTTGGTGATACAAGAACACAGTGGGGAAACCCTCGTGGGAGGTTAGTGCTATTTAGCAGCACAGTGTGGGAACAGAACCCTGGACTGTGCTGAGTCACTAATTACAGGGTATCTTTCCCATAATCACCCACCAGCTGAATGACATTGTACAGTGAGTCAGCTTGTTGGCCAGATAGTGTTTGGATGCTTACATCAAGCAAGGAATGAGTGCAAGTTTAGAACAAGCAAACCTGGGTCCTAATGAACTATGGGTCCATGAGCAAGCTCCTTATTATTGCTCACATTCAGTTGTCTCCAATAAAATGGGACTAGCCTGCCCTGAAAACATCACAGGGAAGCAGGGAAGATGAAATTAGATAAAGCAAATAAGTGGCCGCATTATGTGAACTGTAATTACACCAAATAAGTGAAAGTTCTTAAAACTTATGTTCCTTTTTTTTTTTGAGTCAAGTATCATATCCCCCACAAAAGAAGACATTTCCAAAGGCATGGTTATCAATGGTGGTATTTCTTAGTGGTCCATATGTCACCAGCTCTCTTTGTGAAGCTACAAGACAATTTGTGCTGGGACCTGCATGAGCTCTGGGGTTGATGTGCTTTGTCCTGATAAATAGCACAGGTAAAGGGCTTGTTCACTGCTGGCTCAGGGAGCTCTGGGTGGGCTGAGCATGGCTCATGCAGAGGTGGAGGTAGCCTGAGCTGGGCAACTCCTGAGCAGCGTGGAGAAGGTGACTAGGCACTGGCGCTCCAAGTGCAGGGCAGGTCAGTGATGAGTATGGGCAACGTTGTATAACAGCAAAGTGTGGTGGGCCAGCTCATAATCCAGCTCCGCAACCTTGGGCAAGTTACTTAGCCACATCGTGCCTCAGTATCCTCATCTGTAAATCGAGGACAACTGTGGTGCGCATAAGGTTGTTGTGTGGTTGAAATGACTTGCTATACAAAGAGGTCTTATAGGGCGCCTGGCACATAGTGAATGGCCAGGGAAGATGAGCCATTATGGTTCACCTTTTTATTTCATTAAACATTGATTGAGCGGCTGGTATGTGCTGGGCACTCTGCTAGGGCCCAGGAACACACAGCCTGCCCTCCAGAAGCACACAGCATACGTAGATGTGAAAACCATTTAAACAATGTTATAAATAGTCTCACTGAGAGAAGTCCAACAAGCTGTGGAAACCAGAGAGAGCACATGACCTGGCTTAAGTGGGGGTGGAAGGAGGACAGACATGGGATGGAGTGTCCAGAAAAGCATCCGCAATCTTAAAGGAAAAGAATGTCACCGGGGGGTCAGAGAGTAGAAAGGCACCACGTGTGAAGAGACATGGGACAGCATTGGTCCCTGGGGTGACTAACCTACAGTTCCTGGTTAGAGGAGTTTAAGCATAAGCCGAGATGACCCCCAAAAAGCACCTGAGAAGCCTGTGGGAGCCAGAGCCTGGTGGCCCACGTGCCCTGCCAAAACAAAGGCTTGGATTTGATCCCGTGCGGGTTTGACCATGGAGCCTCATGCCCAGATTTGTGTTTTAAACCTGAGTACAGCAAGAGGTGGAGGTGGAAGGGAGAATACTAGCAGCAAAGTGGCCAGTGAGCTGATTGGCTTAGGGGGCGATAGTGATGAGAATCAGAAAAAGCAAGGACACCAGGAATTCTTAAGAGAGGGCATGGTATGATGTGTTAGGCGACTACATGAGGAGGAGGAAACAGTGGCTTGGTCAGGAGGGTCCTGCCAAAAGAGGAGGTGAGGGGAGGGCAAGTCTGAAGCGTAGACAGGTGTCCAGCTGTGAGAACTCCAGCGAGGAGGCAGCAGCCCAGGGAGAAGGAGCAGAGTCAGAGCACTGGCCCAGCGCAGATTCAGAAGAGGCACAAAGTCCAGAGAAGAGTAGATGGGAGCCAAGGTGAGAGGGCCATCAGAGAGCTGTGAGCCGTCCCAGAGGCAGGGAAGGAGGGCCTGGGCCTCCAGGGCCAGGACTGCGAGGACTGGCCACAGGAGGGCAGTAGAGCGCCCGTGGAGAGTGGGGCAGGGACCTTGAAGCACAGGGTTAACAGGGAAAGGGGTGTCCAGGAAATAGAAGAGCAGGTGTGGCCCACTTTTGAGGAGATTTGAGTGAAATGGGAGGAGAAAAAGGCATGAAGTGAAGTCAGGGGAGTGTTATGTTTTAAATGAAAGAAGCGTGAACCAGGGGCCAATAGAGGCAGAGGTGGAGAAACAGGAGGGAAAAGTGCAGCCCCCAGAAGGTCAGAGGACATATGTGCTGGCCTGGGCTCCTTTGGGGGTAAGTGTCAGAAAACCTGATCCACCCTGACCTAAGAAGCAGGGAATTTGTTGGCTCCTGGAACTGAAACATTCCGAGGTAGTCTGACTTCCGGCACAACCGGATATGGGGCTCAAGCCGTATCCCAGGATCTAGTTTCTCCCCCTCCCTCTCCCGTCCCCGATTCCTTCCTGTCAACCCCATTCTCAAAAAGATTCACCTTTGTATAGTCTTATTTTTAAAAATTGAGATATGATTCACTTATAAAATTTACCCTTTTCAAGTGTATGATTATACTTCATAATTATTTTAACTGTATTTACAAGGTTGTGCAACCATCACCACTAATTCCAGAACATTTTCATCATGCCACACTAAAAACCTGTACCCATTAGCAGTCACATCCCATTTCCCCCTACGGCCCCTGGCAACCACTAATTTATTCTCTTTCCCTGTGTATTTGTTCATTCTGGTCATTGCGTGTAAATTAAATCATAAAATATGTAGCCTTTTGTGTCTGGCTTCTTTCATAGTTTTTTTTACCCATGTCATAGTATGTATCTGTACTCTGTTTCTTTTTATGTACAAAT